TAACATGGCACTTGCACAAGAGAAGCAAGACATCAATTAGATTCGGAAACGAGTCCAACTCGTCCTGCCGTCATTCCTAGGGCTTGACAACTGTTTGACGGCGTGCACCGCAGCAGCAAAATCTGGTGGCCTCCCCTTTTCAGGGCTGTTCTACGAAAGTCCTGGACGGACAACGAGGGTGGTGGGGGCGGTAACGCCCGGAGTAGTGCTAGCTAGTGAAGCACTTCTCCCCCGCAAGGGGCGACCACCACATCCCCAGCAAGCGCGTTAGCCCATATGCCTTGCTGTCATACATCGCGACCGGCGATGCGTTGGCCCCAAGGATGTTACAGCCAAGCGCCTGCACCCGGCCAGCGGTGCACCAACTGCAGCCAACACTTGGCTCCAGGGCTCTCTGACGTAGTGCCATGCGAACCCCGTCACAGTTGTCAGGGTTGGCGCTTTTGTCTATGCTTTTGTCCAAAGCATCACACAGCAAGCTGCTTGCTTCTGTGGACATCTTGCTGTTGGTCGAAACTGAAGAGCTTCTGTTAGACAGTTCCGACACTCCGAACACTGAGGTGCTATGCCACAGGACACCGCAGGACACCGCAGGACACCGCAGGACACTGAGCTCTACTTGACTTTTCTGGCTGCCACGCATGTAGACCAAACCAACATATGCCCAAAAGAGGATGTAACATGGTGTAAATAGATTGATTGAGGTGTGCCACGACGCGACCACGACCCATTTCGGCCAAGCATCTCTTGCTCTCAACCGTCTCGCCGTGCTTGGGCAAACTGTTGACTGCGGGAATTGCAGACTATAGTGCATTCAACTTCTTCAATGAACGACTCAGCAGAAACTCCAGTGCTTTTCATCTTTTTGACATGTTTCCATGGCAATCTTGCACGCACAGACGGGCAAGCTCCACAGAGTTGGTTTCGAATGTCAAGTGAACTTGCGCAGCTCAGCTTTTTCGGTGCGCACTCTCCACTCCCAGTGGTCGGAAGAGGACTTCCTATGAAGCATAGAGTGTTTGAGAGTGCTGTTGGAGTGCTGCTTGAGATCATGATTGAACAAACACCTGAATATACGAATTCATCAAACAGTCATACTTGAGTCGACACATCGGCATAGATACCAGATATCATCGGATATCTGTATACTCTTGGGAGGTGGCTTTGTTTCGGGGTCTTGTGTCTTGGAAGGTGGTCTGTCGTTCAGCACCGCGCGGTGCGCAGTGCTTCGGGGGGATGGTTCAGATCTTCGACCAACTCACGGCGCGATAGCGGCCACAAATGGAAAGCTTCACCTACGGAGGGCGAAGCGAAAGCCAATCATAGCCAATCTGTCCGAACGGAGTTGGGGCACGAAAAGAACACCTGTTTGGGTTTCCAGGTTTGCTTAAAGACCTTGCAAGCATCTTTGCTTTTGAAATCTATAGATCTATTAGCCTATTGTCTTCCTTTCTTTCTTCTTTGATGCTTTCTTCATGCCTTTCGTTATCTTTTTGTCTCTCATTCAGCTTCATGATCTCCTTTTGATCACACCACCAAGACAAAGAACACCGCGCGCGCCCTGCCAAGGCCGCGGTGCGGGCCTCGTAGCGGTCGCCCGGCTCCCCGCGGTCTCGGACATGTGCCAGGGCCGTCCTCGAGGCTCTCAGCTGCAGCTGCGTGCTGCTCTCGGGCACCAGAGCCGTGACCTGGGGCGGCTTTGCGACGCGGCGGCAGCGAGGCGAAGGGCGAGGGCGCTGGACGACGTTTCACGACGTCCAACAAGAACAAGGCACTTGTTCCTAGTAGCGATGCACTTGTTCCTAGTAGCGTCCTTGTTCAAGAACAGCATCCAAGCGCTCCGTGCTTGTGCTTGTGCTCCAAGTGCTCCGTGGCAGTTTGATTGCTTCCCCCATGACGGTATAGCTGCTATAGACATGCCAATCACCACATGTTCAGATTGGACCAAAACAAGAATCAAGAAACCGAAAACAAAAAAAAATGGAACCAGAAAATGATAGCACTGCCAGCACTATCATGCACTGGCTATATCTATTTCGCATCTCAGGGCTCGGCAGCATCCTCGACTGGGACCTTGACCTGCGAAGAAAGACAGGCTGGACGCCAGAGCTCCAACGAGCCAAGACGTTTGGGTCCACTTCGAAACGGGAACGGTCTTGGGTCCATTTGTCGCAAAATAAGATGAACTTCAGATGAAATTGGATTGACATTGGCATGACATGAACACCAAACATACCTAGGTAATCCTCGTGTGTCGAATTTAAGTCGTTTCACAAAACATCAACTATTCCCGCCGTCACTGTTAAAATTTGTTGTTTGGACAAAAAAACGCTCACAGACGAGACCTTGGAATGACCTCCGACCCGCACATCCTCGAATTTCCTCGAATCATTTTCCCTGCACGTGTCCAAGCCCCTGCACATGTCCCAATGCGGTGGCGGCAATGCGAGCACTGGTAAGGATCCAACATTCAAGAACAAAAGAGGTATACATAACACCGGAACTTTGATCGATACAAAAACAAGTACAAAGTCCACATCTAATAAGTGTAAGGTGTATTGTGTATAGTCATAACCAATGTGAATGGTCATCATGCTTATGCCTTGCCACCCTTTCTTCTGGAAGCTTTTAGCTTACCAAAATGTCTCTGGAAAAGAATTGCGGCCTTGACCAGGTAGAATTCCAGCACTTTCGAAGTGCAAACACGAATGTCCACTCTTCTTGTTAAACGGCTCATGCGGCCTATAAAGTCCTCATTCTGGCTGCAATCCCAATGGACGGGATTTGCAACCACCAACGCTCCGGAATTGAGTTGATGCCACAACTCATGCACAGTATGAAGATGGAAGTGAAACTTGGGAACTAACGCCCAAAGGCATTGTTGATCTTCCCATGCATGGTCGGCAAGGATCGCATACCCTTTCAAAAATGACGCTCCCACCTCATACAGGTAAGCTCCGCAAGACGGTGAAAGCCAGAGCCCATGCCCGTACACCAGCTTAAACCATCGAACAGCCAGCCGTGCTGAAGAAAGCATCACTTCCACGGTTGGAAGCTGGTTTGGTCCAAGACGATGATCGTTCAGAACCCCCACACAAAGGGAGATAATCCATTCCAAACACAGCAGGCAGTCTGAAGCCTTGCAGTTTATCCAAGGGTAAGACCTGCGACTGTCATAGTTGAAAAGACTTGGACTGAAGGATCTCAAGGCCGCTCGCTTTCCCGTCATGGTTTGCCACATCTTGAAGTGCCCCCAAGCAGCATCCAACTTTTCATGCACCTGGCCACCTACAAGAAAAAATCCAGTCCGGAGGATCCAAAAAATGCAGGAACCTGCGAAGTGCCTGTACAAACCCAGCCTCAAGCAATGGAATTGATCACACTTGTACAGGTACTCAGGTCGCTGACTATCAAAAGGGATCTTCAACTGGTAAGGACGTTTCTGCGGAAGCCATGGACGATCCGTGAACATGCTCCTTGTCCATGTTGCTGTTGGGCCCTGCTCTTCTGCAGGGACGCCAGGCATCCCTGCGTGGCACCAATGGCATTGAGCCAAATCTCTGGTTGAACTCTTGTTCTCGAATCCTCGGGTCAATTTACACACCTTCGAATGCCATTTCAAATCGGCTTTGCAGCCGACAACCACCAACCTCCAGGTTACCCCATCGACAACGAAACCATTGTAGAACAACTCAGAGAGTTGGCTGGACATGAACTCCATGATCTCTGCAAGCAGTTTCTCATAGACCTGCTTGCCTAATGTCCCTGGCAAGACAAAGCAGGGGAAATGCTGTAGAAAGCTATGTCCCTGCATGTTGGATCTCAGGCTCTTGGCAGTGGCGTGGACATCAATGTCACGTTGCTCCTCTGAAAGATTCATGTGAGAAGGTACACATTCATCACACGATGATTTGCCCTTGAGGCCCAGTACTGCTTCCCACGATACAACTGTAGTGTTGGATCTACGCTTTCCTCGACCCTCGTCTCCATGCACAGCAATCGGTATGCACCAGCGGAGCTCGTTCTCGAACAGTCTGTACACCTCGTGAGTGCCGTGAAAATTTCTGTAGGCCTCCCAGTATGCTTCGCATATGGACTCCGCAGCATCAACAGATGGATTTCCCAACAAAACCATTGGATGCTTCTCCATCAAAAACCCAGCAAGCTTCTTGGGATGCATGTAAGTGATTTTCAGAACCTCACCATTGGAGCAAATGTGCTTGAAAATGTCCAGAGGTACCCTCCATCCAACACCCATTCTTCGGATTGCACGCATCGCATCCCTGCTGTGATTGTACTTCTTTTCTGACTTGACTGAATTCTGGAGGTTGCCAAACTCTGCTTGGGCAGCTTCTTTCAGTCTGCTACATGTGGTTGCAGGAACCTGAGCTCCCAAAGAAACATAGAACCCAAAACTGTTTTCAACACCGTGGCCTCGGTAAAACACAACTCAAAGGAAAAGTTGATTTTACAATCTTACAACTATGCAACTCCATCGGCCATTGCCTCTGCAAAGGCCTCCACAAGTGGCCTTTTCCTGGAAACCTGCAAGGAATCATCACCTGGCATTTCCAAAAATGGTAACAGCCTAGGGAACCTTGAAATGAATATCAAAAGCTGCAAGCTTCAATTCATTTGATTTACCTTCAGATTTACCTTCAGAGTTATGCAGGCAGTGTTCTGTTTCCCCGATCATGGAGCCATCTCCAAATAAAGGCAATTGCTCCTAAAAAAGCAATCGCTAACTTGCTAAAGGTTTGCATCTTCGAATTTCAATCGCTCAAAACAGAGCGGTCCTGCAACAAATGCAAAGCCAAAAAATGGCTGGCGGTAAGATCATGAGCCAGTACGACGTTTTTTTGTCTCTGACTCTGTCTTGGCCTTTGCGGCAGCGGCCTTTGCTTTTGCACGGACAGACTGCCGCTTCCGATCACCCTTGCTGGCACTACCCTTGCTCGCAGCTTCACCTTTAGGTGCCACCTGCCTCAGATACGTCTGAAGGGTATGCCACAAACAGCTGGACTTTCATGGATGCCAAATCTCATGCGATCACATTTTGGGGACCTGGCTTCATGCGTACTTCGAGGCTTAGTGCTTCGACTGCCCTTGGTAACGTACAACAGCGAAAACAACAAGGACTATGAATGCACTCTGAGAAGGTGGCATTTTCTTGGCATCATCGAGTAGTTTCTGCAGCTGTTCCTCCGCCCTAAGTATAAAACAAGTTAACACCTTATTGCAACAAAATTGATGACCATACAGACCAAATCTCAGGTGTGCACTGTTTGGTGAACCCGTCAATGATTCCCGTGGTGTATGTCTCATTTAGAGTCTCTTCCTTGGCCCGGAGGTTGGTCATCACATCCTTGATCTTGAGCTGCATCCTCAACACGCTTACCCTAAAGATAGCCCTCCCCTCAAACGCAAAGAACTGTCGCTGATCATAAGAATGTCATAAAAATGCAAACTCTTGTCTGAAAAAAAACAAGTTTCTTTCTCTGTAGGTCTGTCAAGGTCTCCACTGCATCAAACTTCTCCAACCCTTGTTCAAGCATCTTAGAACGCTTGGTGATACATGTCCTTAGCCGTTGTTTCTGTAGAAATGTGTGCACACTTCCCTCTAAAAAGCAGGAGCATGCTTTGGTATAATTGTTATTGAATTGATTAGGTGAGGTCAGGAATCAAGATCTTTGGTACTACCGTGCTGGGCAGTGCATCTGGGTCAACTTCTGGAATGCCTGCCCTCTTCCGTGTTTTAGCAGCTTCCTGGGCTGCCTGATCTCTGGCCTCATCTCCAGAGCTGACATCAACGTGAGCCTCCAAGGGGTCATCCTCGTCATTTGAGCCTGAACAGTTTCTAAAAGGTCACACAGTGAGGCAGACGTGCAGAAACAAAAATTTGTAGCGTAAAACATGGGTTGTTGTCCAAAATCTCTTCAGTCAGTACTTGATCCTTACCCGATTCATGTGTTATGTTATGTTTTCTGAACCCAACCTGAACCCTCTTGTTCAGCATCATCCTCCAAAGGTGCCTTTCTCTTTGATTCCTTTCTGGTCTGGTTCTTTTCACCCCCCTCGGCTTCAGGAATAACAGCTGTTTTTGGAGGACCACCAACTCTGGCTGGACCATCAAAACAGGAAAGATCTTGCCCTTCCTGTCCATGCTCTTGCCACTGCAGCTTTCGTCTCGTTGAGACTTTGCTGCTCCGCCTCAATCAATGACCAAAACAAAACTATACAAATGTACGTGCCGCAAAGAACTCGACAGTTTCTGAGTAGTTGGCACTCGTCTTGCTTTCACAGAGGTTTCAGCCCAATATAGCATCACCCGTTCGTAGCGGTCCCACCTGCGCAAATGTATCCTCAAAATATATCAACATGGTTACAATCATAAGAATAAAGGTCAGGTAAGTTATGTTTCCCACAGTTCTGAACAAAGCCTCATCAGTTTCTTTGGATCTTCCCGCGCTGCTTTCTTGATTGCAGCCACCCTTTTCCTAAGCCAACCAAAAGATAGACCAAACAAACTCAAGCTACAATGATCAAAACCTCATCTACACCTAGGTGCTCGCTCCAGCCCCAATCTTCGATCATTGACGTTTCCGACAAGTACTCACCCTCTATGATCAGGTCATCCTCCAAACTGTCTTCGCGGAGTAGTTCACATTCCTGGATAAAGCTGTCCTGGCAAAGAAAGGGTATCCTGATTGAAAACAAGGGATGTTGAAAAGTGAAGCGCCAGAAAAATAAACAAGTTGTGTTTGGGCCATGGAGTCCTTGCAATATCCACATGACTGGAAGAGCTTGTAAATCTTGTCCCTTGATTTCCCCTTGCTTTGCCACATCTTACAAATAGCATCCGAAACCTTCCTCTTCCCACTTACCTTTGAGGGTTCAAAAACTCTCCGGAGGCGAGCGTTCATGGCCCCGTCGCTGATTCTGATCACTCCTGCGACTGGCCGCTCCGCTTCCTGATTTAAAGCGTCAGGAACATCTGAGTCAAAAACCTCACCATCGATTGTTGTTGGCGATTGACCTTGCCCTGGCTCCACCTTGCCAGGAAACAACTCAGGCCTAGCTGCCCTGGCAGGTGTGGCCACAGAACGAACACAAGGATGAACACAAGGAGCCACAGGTTTCTCATCCTCGGGCTCATGACTGGGGACAGCGCAATAAGGATCCTCCAAGGCGTTGGTAAAGTCTTCGGTAGCCTGAGCGCAAAGGTTGTAAATTACCCAAACCTTTGACCTTTTCCTACTAAAAAGCCAACCATAAGTATAGGATAGTATAAGCACATATAAGCACATTGTTGGTTAGGCATGTCTAGGCACACAGTTGCCAAAGAAATACTTTCGAAGTTCATCATCTTCATTCTCAACCTCCGAAGCCTGATCCGCCTGTGATGTGGAACCAAACAACTCATCTTCATCCACCTGTGTATCACAAAGTGTGTGTTCAGGGGTGGCAGGGAATCTGCCATCTTCCTGAGCTGGTTCGACTTCCACTGACTGCGAATGCTCATCCTCGATGCGATGAAGCTGAGCTTGTAGAGCCTGACTCGCTTAAGCGTAGGTATAGGTGTAGTTGTGTCTTACTTGATACCATTTGATACCAAAGAACAAAGTTTATTCCAAGAAGCAGCCATTTCGTTGGCAAGGTCTTGGTCCCCTTCAACTTTTGTCAGAAGAAGGCCAGGTTGGTGACCTATCCCATTAATCCCAGCTAGAAGGGTCTCGGCAGACCAAATGTTCCTCAGGCCCACAGGTTCCATTCTAGCTAACCTGTGCTCGAGAACAAGAAAAGGCTTCTCAACAGAACATCCGAATGTCACACTCTAAACTGCAATCTGGTGTGTATGATTGTGATCTGCCACCAAGAGTTATGAAACATTATAAAACGGTGTATGTACGCTAGGGTTTTGCAAACTTGGAGTAAATGCGACTGGCAATCCTCGCATCTGGCCGAATTATGTGCATCTAGCAAGTGGGCAACTGTGATTGCAGATCTGGGAGTACACAAACATCCATCAAAAAAACAGTAAAAAAAACGCCGTTTCGCTGGTTTTTTACGCCGTTTCGCCGGTTTTTTACGCCGTTTCATTTTTGATATTTTTCCAACAAAAGAGTTGAAACATCAATGACTCCCTTACAAATCATGTTGTTGCCACTTTAGAGGTCAAACAGGCTATCGCATGCCACAAATTCATGTGGCACTGTGACCTGCTTCAACCGCCGGATGTATTGTATTGCCGGCCCTAAGTTTGCTTCTTCCCACGCAGCATTCTCATGACAGAGCATGAGCTCAGAAAGTGGAGCATCAGTGTCAACCTGGCGACAACGGCTTCGATATAGGTACCAACAGGAGAATGAAGTGGCACAGAAATTGGAATCCGTTTAGCAAACGTTTTAGCATGACTCATCTCTGTCCTTTAGGTCAAAGCCCGTGCTTGTCGCGTGAAGATCTGGTAAGATTTGATTCATAGCCTTTGCAAAAGATACCGGGTAGATCCTTAGGAACACTTTCTTTGTGGTCCATCGAAGTACTCTAGTAAGATTAATGCCAACAAAACGTCAGGAAATGCAACACTCAGTGCAAAGTGCCAACAAGAATCTGTGACCGCTTGAGTTGAGGGGTGCCACAAAAACGCATGCGTCCATACTTGTCACGGTATCGTTTGGTTGTAGTAGACTTCACCTTTCTCGCACGTTTGTTCTTCTTGACCATGTGTTTCAAAAGGTTCTGTGCTGCCGGGTTGTTGGTGAGAAGCATCGTAGGCTTTCTTGTAGGGGCACCGAAACAAGCCATCTGGAAAGTTAGGCGGTATGCCTTAGTGATTTATACCCAAAGGTAGTGAAACAAATGCTGCTCAAAAAGGAATGGAAATGCAAATGGTGTTCAAAGCAAAAGCAAACATCAACTAAAATCATCCGAACTACACGAACTCCAGCACGGCGCAATGCTTTGATTACCCATTTGAGGCGAGGGTACTCCAGAATAATCGATCGCTCAGGATTCTCAAGTACATAGCTTTGACCCAAGCAACCAATGAGAAGGAGCAACAAGGAGACCCGACTCACCATGCGGTTTCCCTTTCGAACTGAAGTTGCCCCCACTTGCCCCTCTGGAACCAATTCATCTCTTTGGGATGTGTGTCTGTTCACTAGTGACCATGTAGAACAAACCACGGCAACGATTGCTAACGCATTCTTCCTGCCCTGGAGTAGCAGCAGCACAGCCAACCTTAGCCAAAACAGCCAAATGGAAGTAACATAATGGAACAAATGAAATGTTTGTTCGATATTGAGAATATCATTGCAAAAGCGCCCCAATGCATTGCATATCATTGCACCAAATTGGATGAGAAACAGTATGCCTGCCTCTCCATTGATATCAAAACAACTACGCTTTTGATGTGAAGAGAATGACGACTCCGCTCCTTTCACCGGGTGGTCATAGTCAATGTCGTAGCACCGGACATTGAAACCGAGAAAATGTGCCCATTT